CCTTAAAGTGTTGTGGCTAGAAAAAGAAACGGAAGAGAAATGTCACCTGAAAAGGGAATACACATCGATGTACACACACAGGTATTAACCACGCGGCGTGATGACCCTCTGTCGGCAAGCTGGTAGTCGCACAATTGGGTGAGGGAATGCCATCCTGATTCGCTTGTGTAATCACCGAGTTAGCAAGGTAGCATATTCACATGCCGTCGAGCCGCGGTGTGAGATCGCTGAAGAAATGGGAGTTTCTTGCGCTGGCTCGTAGCCGTGTGTGTTCTAGGTGTGCTTGTAGCTAGGTGTGTTCTGTACATCTGCGTGTGGCATTGTTTTCCCGACAGGCGAGAAACGTTTTACGTGTTCCGAGTGCGCAAAAAGATTCATGAGGAGCGATCACTTATCGAAACACATCAAGACGCACCAAAGCAAGGGATCAGTGGGCGCAGGGACACCAGGTATGAAATGCCGTTCCGCTCATAGTGCTGTTGATAGTTTTATTGCGAGAAGGCTGGTTTCTGCATTACCGAGTTTTGTTGAGGGAAGGCTGGTGTCTGGTTGACTATACAGAGGTGCCAACCACTGCGATTTATCCGTATTTTATACGAATTTCTATTTCTTTTGCACCACTACGACCAGTTTGTATCAAACTACGAATTTCACTGTAATCTAAAAAAAAAAATTTTTGTCAATTATTGTCATTTTTTGTCAATTTATTGTCATTTTTTACCTCCAGAATGCAGAAAATTGCATCTCAGAGTCAAAAAATTTTCCGGGGGGCATGCCGGACCCCCCTAGCAAACTCGGGTCACGTAGCTAATTTGATGGCCAGAAACTACAGATTGCTTCAAATATGTGTTGGCATCTCTGACTATAATTGTGTTATGCTTGGCACGCTCATGCATGCTCGTTGATTTCATGCAGTCACTAGTTGATTTTTCTTGTTATCCTCTGTCATTTCATTCCTGTATGAAAGTAATTTGCTGTTATTTTTCTGTTGTATCCAGGGCACGAAATTCAGATTTTTTTACCAGGCCTCACAAATTTTGTTTGTAAAATCAATGTCATGTTCACGCTTGCATTCTCGATTTTAAATTTGTAAAATGTTGATAAATTATGGCGTGATATCCTTCAGGTAAAACAGTATTGTCGGCTGTTTGCTCATTAATGCTATAAATATAAATGTAGGCGCTCGCTAACACGGCTGAAACCAACGGCTCGGAGGGTCGGTGTTTTGCCAATGTTACCGGCCCTCCAAATAATTTTCCAGCATGTGTCGGTGGACCGGTGCTAATTTTGCGCCCTGTATATCTAACCCATACATTCTCACTCTTCTCGGTTCCTCCACCAATATTAAACTCCTACATGATGTGCTTACCCATGCACTCATGAGCTATTACTCAATCTTACGTCAGGCAATGTTGCCTTCATTCTTCATGGCTCTCAATAAAGCTCGTGAAACACTAAGATGAAATGTGAGAATGCGCAATCTTGTGGATTTTGTTCATTTTCATTACCGGATCTATTAAATGTTTCTCTGTTGGTTGCTGCAGGAATAATGGATGGTGATGATATAGCAGTTTACTCAGTCATCGCCATGCCATCCGGTGTCCAGGACGACAACATCAACAACAGCATGGCTTCACTCGGGTCATCGGAGGCTGAGCAGTCAGACGCTGACATGGACAGCACACTAACAGATGTCAAACCTATCATCACCACAATGACCACATGATGGTCTCTACCTCCACAGTGTGATATCAGTGTGTCACAATGTCATTGTCAACACCTGATGTTGTGTCACTATGTCACAAATACATTATCAATACCCAACATGGTGTTTGTGTGACAAATCCATTACCAATCTTTGATGGGGTGTTTGTGTGTCACAAATCCAGTACCAGTCTTCGATGTGGTGTCTGTATGTCACATTGCCATTATCAATGCTCAATGTTGTCTGTGTGTCACAAATCCATTATCAATATCCAATGAGATGTGTGTGTCACACTGTCATTACTAATGGCCATTGTGGAGTCTGTCATCACCATTGCCCACTTAATGTCAAAAATCTAACATCAACAACTGATGCAATAGATAGAATCCAAGAATCTCTCGTCTCAAGAATCCATTGTCACTATTTCATTTCTGTCCCTGACCAAGCATTACCACCTGGAAGACACACCCACGTGTTTGTTGTGCAGGAGTCTGTCTATTTCTGTGTCTGACTTTCATGTGTAAACAATTAGGACGCACAGTGACTCACACCTGCCCCACCTCCCAACATAGTAAACACTATCAGGCGTGTATAATATAGGTAGAGATATCTATATTATACACTCCTGATTGTACTATGAATGAGGGTAGAAGGTAGATCGTGTGTGAGGGGGTATTACGGTAAAACTCGCATAAGTCGACACTTTTGGGACCAGCATATTTGTGCCGACTTACGAAAGTGGTGACATACGCGAAAGTCGTCATTTTGTCGACTTATATGTAGGGCTCCCTTCCCCGGCGTCCGTCACCCCTACGCAGTCATAAACGTGCTCCACACACGACGTCAGTTCGCGCCACATACATGGCAGACATGAAACAATCGGGTCCGTACATCAATCGACACCGCTGCTGGCCATAACGCACGTACATTGTACACACTAGCGGCAAGCGCGGCACACGCTGGCTATCTGTAACACCCGCTGTTGATTACACATTTGGACATTGCAGGACATTTGCGGCACACGTCTGCCAAATTTTCTTGGAACACTTGCTGAAAAAATACAGTAATTCAGTAATTCCGCGAGGCCGTGCTCTGGAACGAACTAGTTATTATAGCAGAATTTTCAGGGAGTCGCACGGACTCCTGCATAATGTGAAATCATCTGCGACAGCCAGCTCGTGCGTCCCCTAGACCGTACACTGCGCGCGCGCCATCGGCATTTCTGATGACGACTTACAGATGGGAAATTACTGTTGTTTGTATTACATGGGACCTGTCTGAGGGCGAAGACTTGCACATAATTACAGCTTATAAATGATAACTTAGGCAGGGCTATTCCAATGGATTTACTGTGAGAGAAAATCGGGACTTTGACTTCCATGACGACTTATGCGAATTGACGAGTTAGACGATGACGACTTATGCGAGTTTTACTGTATAACATACTGTAAATGTTTGTAAAAATGTATAAAAGAAGTCGGGGTTGAATTTTATCGATCTCCTGTTTTCGATAAAGGAAGGAATTCTGGATGAGGAACAATTTGGAAAGTGTATATGCTTGTAAATCTCAGTTTAGAGTTTGTAATTTCCTGTACAGTATGATACTTTTTGGGAGCGATGGAATGTTATAGGTCGTACTGTATAATGGCCTCTTTGCACAAATTACTTGAGAATATATATTAATGATTTGAAATTATATAGGTACCAGTGACAAGTACCAAAAGGTGATTATTAATGCATATATATATATATATGTCGTAGTGTGAATCTAACCCTTGAAGTAAGGATCCACGACAAGCAAAAAATCGAAATAGGGTGGTTAGCCCGTTTATTCTACCGACCCAAATTATCAAAATATCAGAGTAGAACAGATACCGAAAAAACCCGCTTTTCTTGACACTCTAAAACTCGCGTGTCCCAGGACGCACCACAAAACAACACTCTACATCAGTGACACCTGGTGTCCACACCTGGTATCGGTTTTTGGTATTAGCACTGTAATGAACTTGTTCCTGGCTTTGTGACATGGGAGGGAACATGTCTGCTTCACATAATCCCTTCAGAGAAAGGCACACCTGATTGTAGAACTCTTTCTCTGAGCTTTAACAGTAGACTCATAACATTCTCAATCACCACTTTATCTGTTTCCTCTTCCAACTCAATCATGAAGTTCGTCTTTATTGTCTCTCTTTTCCCTTCTGTTGTGAGTCTTCCGAGACTAATTACATTGTCTCTAAGTATGTACACTGATGCAGCGTGCTGCTTTGCGGCTGATCCAAAGTCCAAGGCTTCCGACAATTGGGAGTTCGTTGCCTTTAGCTCTATTGCCCTCCTCACTGATTCTTTTGATCTCGGGAAGATATAGAGCTCTATGTGACTCTTCTCTGTCCACATCAACTCTTTTCTGGAACTCCCTCCACTTCACCTCCTGTCCATGTATGAAAGCCACTCACGATAGGCTGTATTGCAGAGGAATGTCTGTCCATACCATCCTGCTTGAATAGAGTCAGTGCCCTTTTCGCCACTTCTCCTCCAGATCTTGTGGCCAGCAAGTACATTGCAAACCTTGGACCCAGGAGACCTGCACACATAACTGGCTCCAGAGGGAAGAACCGAAAAGGTGGTATGGGTATTTTCTTTATCTCTTTCCCAAAAACTTTAAACTGTCCTCCTGGTGTAAGAACCCAGATTTTGATAGTGTTCCCTAGCTTGTAGCATCTGCACAATGGCAGTTGGGTAGATGGAACCTTCACTATTGAGCCTGTAGTGTTATAGGCTTGCATGGCTCTATCCTCAACTCTAATTGGGTTTGTGTCTTGGTGAGCTGCCATTACAAACTTAATTCTGGTATTCTGGTATCACTCCTGCGTTGATCGTATATCCTGTCGACTGCACCAATTTGTCGTAGTCTGGATCCAACCCTTGAAGTAAAGCTCCACGACAAGCAAAAAATTGAGGTAGAGGTGGTGTCCAAAGGGTAGGGTGGTTAGCCTGTTTATTCTTCCGACCCAAATTATCAAAATATCAGAATAGAACAGATACGAAAAAAAATGCTCTTCCAGACACTCTAAAACTCGCGCGTCCCAGGACGCACCACACAAACAACACTCTCCCCACATCAGTGACACCTGGTACTCTCCCAAGTGAATAATAAGTCCAACTGCGACATATATTATATATACATGTAAATTTTTTCATAGCAAGTTAGCGAGTGACATAGTGCGACTATGTATTGTTCGTTCGCTCTAGATCTGATTGTGGTTACATCGAGTTGTGGCATTTTTTGAAGAGTATGATAAAAGGTTTAGTTTACCATGCCTGATATTATAACCTGTGACTCTGTCAATATCACAGGCACTTGGGACAGAGTCAGGAACTAATGCAGAATTAACCGCTCCCGCACTCGCCGCTGCGAGTGTGCTGTGTCGCTATTATAATGATATAATATATAGAGTAGAGATATATACTCTATATATTATATCATTATAATGGCGACACAGCACACTCGCAGCGGCGAGTGCGGGAGCGGCTAATTCTGCATTAGCTTTTGTGAAAGCAAGTTTATATACAGTGACACAACAGTGGAAGTGTAATTGAGGGGTAGTATTTGTGAATATGCGTTCGTATTATTTTCAGTTTTTACTGACTGTCCCAAGTGCCCGTGGTCAATATCATATAAAAAGCCACTGTAAATTTTATTAGATCCTTGTTATGAAACTGGTGGTGAGATGATGTTGGGATACTGTGATACCCAAAGCCGTGTTGAGCCAATGAAGCCTGATTAACAACTGAAAGTAGTGTAACTTCATTATGGGGTTTAAAACGATTATTGAATACATGCAGGACGTTTTCATACTTGCGCATATGTAGCGCCTTTTTGTTATCATTATAGGTAGTTTGAAATCGGTTAAAAGGTTCCAAAATTTGGCAACATAAATGTATCAGTAATATTTAGGTTCATGCAGGGGGCAGGTACTGCATGAATTTAATTTGTTACCATTTATGATCATGTAAGTACTAAGAAGGTTGTTATCAGGACATGTAAATATGTGATTACAATTATAAAAGGGATGTATACACTTGGAGGCAAATTGTATTACGAAAAGTATCTGATTTCCAAATTATGGATGAAATTGCTCAACTGTTGTAATACACATATAAATATAAACTAACAATTTAGTATGCGTTGATTTGTAGTTATAGTATGCATTTCGATAAAAAAGGACGTCTGACAAAGCAAGCCGACAGACCGGTGAACGTATGTACACATTTTATTGCTCGCCAACGTGACGAGGTGATGATGGTGTCAAGTTTACTGACATTTAGTGTTCGCTAAATTATAAATGATTTACACATTTTTAAGAGTCAAACTTCAATTGTGCCATGTGCATGTCTGCGTACATGTGAGAGATATTTACTAATGCGATCGCGGATACTATTTTGTACCTATTTTTTAGAGAGAGCAAAGAGTAGAATGATGTAAATATAGATATCGTTGCCAAAAAGCGTTTCATGCTAACCATTCCGTTGAACAACAGATCAGGTCGTGGTGATGGTGTGAAAACGCATCCTCATGCAACAAAGTCAAATAATTCGAAATGGGTGGTGTTCGATTTAGGTAAAATTTTGGTTACATAAATTGACTGACATCTATTGGCAAATCAATCACTGCATTACTTGTTAGCCAAAAATTATACCAAGAGCAAATTTTGGGTTATATTGTAATATGCACATTTCCCCTGGAAGATTGCACGACCGTAAATACTGTACTGGTCAGTTAGTTCAGTTTATGAGACTTGAATGACTCTGAAATAATGTGCACAACAAGTTACTCACGCGGCAGATATTTATCCAGGCTTCAAAAACGGGGGCTGATGATATCTGTCAAGTGGCTATAACGTCAGCAAGGAAAGGCAACCTTATATGGACGTTACTTATTCGATACTAGAACAGTTCTAAAAATATGTATGCTAGTTCAGTGTGCCATCTTCCGCCCTGTGTCTCTGGACGTACTTTTAGGACGGACGAGTTGCGCTGGTCTGTCATTGTGAGACGAGTCAAAACAAACCGTGTGAGACTGCGACTGTGGGAGGGGGTCATGCTGCTCACATCAGAGTACAAACTTTGTTTTCTTTTGGTGGCCCATCGGCTCGTAAAACCAATTTGTATTTTTGCGTCTTACCGCGGGCCAAGTTATCATCGCAGATGTGTTGTATTGGAAGTGGAAAAATAAACGTGTACAGGTATCGTATTGGGAATCCTAATCACTATTCTTCTATAGTTTTTAGGGTGTCCATGTATAACAAGCACTCCACTGAGATTTTGTGACAGAATTGGAGTGTGTGTAATGCACCTACTTATTGGTGGCGCCCCCTCACACACACTATGATAAAATGGTCAAAAGTACATTCCAACATTTATTTTAGTCATTTTTTTCATGTGAGAATATTGATCAGTGATAACTAAAGACAGATCCGTAATAAAATGTCAACCTCGTGAAATTGTTAAACGCTATATATATGCATGCATTACAATAGTCCGTTTTTACACGAAACTATCAAGATCAAACAAGGACACTGGTCGAATCGTAGACAAACGAGTCGTAAAGATAATTCTAATATGGTTTCTTGCTTTTACACTCTTAACGAATGGGTTTACTATTACTTTTTCTTGTATCTCTCATACTGTCTTCTGCTGCATAAAAAATCCCTTTGACATCCCAGCAATATATAATTATGTCCCATTTCATTGGTCAGTCAATCAAGTCGTATACAAAAATAATGTGACAACTTACAGCACAATGTTTTTGGGCAAAATCACAAGCATTCAGACCTGCATTGCTATTCAATATTGACAGGTTTACTAATGCAACAAAATAAGCAAAGAAACCATGTGCCATTGTTAGGTGCTTTCTAGATAACAAACAAAAATCTTGGGTTTGAAAATGCAAAAATACAAACGTTTTAGATCTAATTCTTGGGGGCTAGTTGTACCTACCACCCTCAATGTCCACATCTAGCAGTAGCAGCTACAGCTACACCTATTGTAAAATTGCAGTTAGAGCTACGCCTGCCCTCACCGACGCCGGCTACACGTGCGCCTGGGCCATCCTTAAAAAATTCTATGTTTGCTGTCCCCCTACCCATGATTTTTTTAGTGGGTAGGTAGGTGGGTCATTTTTTTGTGAGGCATAATAGTTATTTTAAGTCTGTCCTCATGTTTGCCACACATGCTTTGTGTTTCAGTCTTAACTATGAAAAATGTACACACAAAAAATGGGGGAAAAAAAAATATCGAACCCAAAATGTCAAAAAAAACTTTTGGGTCGCGGCTATTTTCGTGGGTCGGTCGGAGGACAGCAAACATATAATTTTTTAAGGATGGCCACGTCCACGCGTTCGCTCACTGCAGCAGGCTGCGTCGCACGAGTGCCGACGTGTAGATGTTGTAGTGCTCAGGCAGCTTGGCGCCGAGCCGCGACAGGTAGCGGTTGCGGAAGTAGAAGTTGCTGCGCGGCCGCAGTAGGTCGGCTGTCTGCGCGTAGTCGCCGAGCGCCTCCTCCTTCGCACGCTCCTCCCGCTCCAACTCCTCCACCATCTGCGCTCGCCCCGTCGCCGATAGGTTCAGGTTGAGCCCGCGGCCCGAGTCGATCAGGTAGAGCAGCACCGCGGCGACGAGAGCGAGCGCGAGCCAGCCGAGGAAGAACACCTCGAGGATGAGGTAGCCGTTGTTGTCGACGACCGAGCCGCAGACGAGCGCGATGACGGCGAGACCGAGGTTCTGAATCGCCTGCATGATGCCGTACGCCGTGCCGAGCTGGTGGTCGGCGATGACGTACGCGACCGTCGGCCAGAGCGCGCTCGCGAGCAGCGAGTACGAGATACCCATGACGCTCATCGCGATGAACGGGTTGAGGAACGTGAACGCCATCGTCGCGTGACAACCCATCGTCACGACGATGGCGATGATCACCCACGTGATGTTGCGGCCGACGCGGTCGACCATGAAGCCGAGAAGCGGCGACGCGACGGCAGAGATGATGTACACGATGCCGTTCACCGCGAGCGCGTTGCTCTTCGTGAAGCCAAACTTGCTCTCGAAGAACATCACGCCGAGTCCGATGAAGGGGAAAATGGCGACGTAGAAGCTGACGCAGATGATGCAGAGCATCCAGAACGCGAGCCCAAAGTCCTTCACGTCGGTGATGTGTATCGCCTCGGCCGTCTTCCCCTCGTCCAGCCGGAGGATGCGGTTGGCACGGTGATCAAAGAAGCCAAGCAGGAGCGCGCAGATGAGCGTCATCACACACGTCGCGGCGGCGAAGAACAATGCGATGCCGAGCTGCTCGTACCCGTCAAGGTCGAACACGCGCCCCACGAGGTCGTAGACGGGACCCATCAGGTTCATGTTGGCCGTGCTGCCGACTCGGGCGATGCTCAGCTGCAACCCGAACACCATGTTCAGCTCCTTGCCCTTGAACCAGGTGACGGCGTACGTGTTCTGCGCGACCGCGAGCGACTCGCCGCCCGTGCCGAACAGAAACCGGCCGGCCTGCATGAGCCAGAACTTGTCGAGGAACGCCCCGAGCGCAAAGACGAGCTGGCCGAAGAGAACGAAGAGCGCAAAGACGACGGTGCCGACGCGGATGCCGAACACGCTGTCGAGCATGAAGCCGCCGAAGAAGCAGAGCACGACGTTGGGCCAGGAGTACCACGAGTAGAGCGACATGAACTCGCTCGTGCTCACCCGCAGGTCTCGCTTCATGTCGTCCTGTAGCGCGGACGGGTTGTCGTAGCAGAAGTAGCTTCCGAAGCCGAGCAGACACATGAGCACGAGCATGATGAAGCGGTGCATCCAGCGACCCGGGTGGCAGCACAGCGTTCCGCCGCATCCCGGGATCTCCAGCTGAGACGGGTCGACGGAGCGCACCGCCGACACGCGACGCTTGTTCGGCGACGCGCCGCCGTCGCTACCATAGTCACGACTCGGCGAGGACACTAGCAGCGGTTCGGTCTCAGGCATTGCGAGAAGGTACTCCTAGACCGACGTAGGCAGAGGACGACGACGAGACGGTATGTTGTACTTTACACCTTCTGTCGATATCTCTCGTTGGATGTAAGCAATATGCACGTGCGTTGAGCCAAGGTTATAAGTTACAGTTATCCAAGCACCAGCAGCAGGGATATGGTGAGCGCGTTGAAGAAGATCAGCGGAACTGTAAAATGTCGAAAGAAGGTTGTTACACACATGAACCAATCATGACAAAAACCTGACATGTCAAATAAACAACCGAACCGAGCAAAAACAAACATATGTAACTATTCGATTTCATGCCCCCAATCCTCTGACACTGTGTAATGTACATGTACATCTAATGTAAACTAGATAATACATTACAGATACTTAACTGGATATTTACCTGTCCCAATAACAAGTGGCTAGGGATTAGGAATTGTATGCTTAGGCCATCCTTAAAAAATTATATGTTTGCTGTCCTCCGACCGACCGACGAAAATAGCCGAGACCCAAAAGTTTTTTTTTACATTTTGGGTTCCATTTTTTTTTACATTCCTCATAGTTAAGACTGAAACACAAAGCATGTGTGGCAAACATGAGGACAGACTTAAAATAACTATTATGCCACAAAAAAAGAAGAAAACCTACCTACCTACACACTAAAAAAATCATGGGTCGGGGGACAGCAAACAGTGTCTAGTTGTTTGTGTGCATGCATGTGTGAGCGCGTGCGTGCGTGCGTGAGCGCGTGCGTGCGTGCGTGAGCGCATGCGTGCGTGTGTGCGTGCGTGCGTGAGCGCGTGCGTGCGTGCGTGAGCGCATGCGTGGGTCTAAATATATACATGAGTTCAAGTTGACGGTAGTCCGTTAGTCCAAAACTACCAGGCTTACCCATGGATGAGTAGAATTCAGTAACAACTAGTCTGGTGGACTACCTTCCTGTCAGCGTCAACTAAACCTAGCACTGCCAGTATTTTAATAACAGTAAACACGGATAAATAAACTGATCATTTAAATTATTTCGCTTCCCTGAATGTTGTTATAACATGATTTTAAATAAATTCAACCACCGATTGTCAAATATACTTAAACATAGTATTTTTATCACACACATTGATCAATAACATGGACGACCCATGTTTGTTGCTTATATATATGTGCTTGTCGTAGACTACCACACATGAAGTTGAATTTTGCACCCTTCACATATATATATATATATATATATGACTTTTGAACAAGGGAGTCCAACGGACTCCCTGCCCTCAAAAAGAGGGAGTCCACAGCAAAATGAGGGAGTCTGCAGTCTGAAGTTCAAAACTAAAGATATTAACAATAACGCATACATGTGCTTATTTTGATGCGGTTGCACGTCTGCCATTTTTCTTTGGACATTTGCTGAAAAAATATGGCAATTCCGCGAGGCCGTGCACTGGAACGAACTAGTTAATATAGCAGAATTTTCATTTTTCAGGGAGTCACACGGACTCCTGCATATATGTCAAATCAGGGAGTACGACAGCAAATCAGGTCTGTGTATTTGACTCCGGACTCGCGTTAATTTCACTCCCTGTATATAGTACACACCATTATTTAGTTGCACAACTGTATAATTATCCAGGGTTTTTAAGCTGGACAAAAAAAATTTGGTCTGAAAATGTTTACCCAAATTAGGCTCAACTTAGTTAGGGCAGGAAAGGACAAGGAAACGCCTCTCTGAAATCAAATTCAATCGCGCTGGAATTAGTGTTTTCATACAGTGCGCACACTTCCAGGATATCGATATCTACTAACTATGTATGTAGTCGTGTGTGAAGGGAAGGCCACTTTGATCGTCTTCAGTTGTTTCCGGAAAGGTTTCGGTACCGAGTAAACAATGAACACATGCAGTGTACCTCGTGCGTCGGGTTAGTGAACTTGTAGCGATGCCATGTAGAATTCAGGTGGCACACGAATTAGCTTTATAATCAGCTTTTTTATAACTTTTTTTTTGCCAAATTATTCAACTTGAATTCGCATTTGACGAATTAGCGACCGACAGCTCAAACCCTGGTTATCTTAAACTTATGTATCACGTTGACCCCACATGACCTATAAAGCAACCTGGCTACATTTTGCTCGGATGGTTTATATGTGCTTCTACAAGAGTGGCTACCTATAATATATTACAGTAAAACTCGCATAAGACGCCATCGTCTAACTCGTCAATTCGCATAAGTCATCATGGAAGTCAAAGTCCCGATTCGCTCTCATAGTAAATCAATTGGAATAGCCCCGCCCAAGTCATCATTTATAAGTCGTCATTATGTACAAGTCATCGCCCTAAGACAGGTCCCATGTAATACAAATAACAGTAATTTCCCATTTGTAAGTCGTCATCAGAAATGCCGATGACGCAGTGTACGGTCTAGCCTCTAGGGGATGTGCGAGCTGGCTGTCGCAGATATGCGCTTAGGTCAAACTGACGATCGCCTGTAGATCGCGCAACATGAGTTGTTTCTGTGTGCACCGATTGTTTCATTCGCATTGTTCGCTTGGACGCATTGTGTTTTTTGTCAGCTCGCGTGGAAACAGTCGCGCCGCAAAAGTATTTCATGTAGATATAAAGCCTGGCGAAACATCAGCTTGACACTCTCCAAGTCGCCGAAATACCGGCTTTGTAAATTGTCAAAATGACGATATATATACGCGCATAAGTTGTCATTTGGTCGACTTACATTATATATAAGTTGACAAAATGATGACTTACGCGTATGTCGTCATTTTCGTAAGTCGGCACAAATATGCGGGTCCCAAAAGTGTCGACTTATATGCGAGTTTTACTGTATATATTTACATTATATTGCTAAGGCCAGTCAGTATTTACAACAAGTGAACACCACAAAGTCTGGCATACAACTGTATTATAGATGTTACCAGTCCTACACAGGTCAAGTATTTATCAACACAGCAATTCTCCACATAACAAAGGCACAAGCTGCAAAATTTTTGAATTACGTACGTATTCTCAGAAACGAATTGGTTTTGTAACAAGGGAGGTTACTGTTCACCTTCCGAACTAGATGTGAAATGAACTTACTTCTCATCAGTGTTCGCACAGAACGGATTAGATCAATTATCTGACTTTTCACTCCAACTTCTTCTCCAAATCCTCTATTTTGGTCAGCTCCCCATCCAACTGAAAAACATTAAATGTATCACACTGTGCAACTTTGGTAACGAGTTGCAGCCTGACAGCAGAAACCATGCAGGAAGTTAAAACAAGCGGTGTAGTACCAAATAATGTCTACAACTAGCTACAAATTACAATACACAATGTGTATTGTAGCTAGTTATACACACATATACATATGTAATCGCTGAGGCTATATGCCGGGCAGCCGGGCACGGTCTTCGATTTCCTAAATGCCCGGCAGTTCCTAACCCTAACCCTTGTTTACTTGAGATAACGCTGAAAATTAAAAACTGCCGGGCATTTAGGAAATCGAAGACCGTGCCCGGCAGCCGTCAGATATATGCCGGCTGCCGGGCATATAGCCACTCTGTATGTATATTACACATACAGCCCTGCAAGCAGAAAACCTAACCATTTGCAGGCTACATTATCATATCAAAGTAAAACCATGACTTGTAAGGCTTTTTAAAAGCTAGGATGTGCTTAGTCACAAGTTATACCTTCTCGCTTCTCATTATATGACCTTCATTTGGACGTGAAACACTGGTATAGAGCCTGCCTGGTCAGGCTACTGGCTAGAACCTACTTAATTAGCTATTTGTTCAGATATTATGAATAATGATTGATAATAAATTCAAAATCATACCTCGGGACTTTTGTCCAGACCACTGACAAGAGCACTGAGCAGTATTACACTGTTATACTAAGTGTATACATAAACAACTAATGGCAGTATCGGCTGTATCTCTATTTGCTCTTGCTGGCTTTAAATAACTGGCCACAAGCCAGCTATAACTCACCGCTGTTCATTGTACAATGGAATCTATCCAGTTATGCTAGGTCGAAGGTATTGGTGTGTGTGACGACTTATCCAGACGCGCTGATAGGGTCTATGTCCCCCAGGGTACTGCCGGAACGTACCCTGCGTACGGTCCGGTATACCGGAACGTACCCTGGTACTATCTAATATGCCGGGCCGTACCTCGCCTACTCCACTAACGAGTCTAGGGAGTCACCTACGCCTACTCCCTAACCCTAACCATATCAAATAGTTACCAGGGTAGGTTCCAGTTAGATACAATAATGTAACCCAAAGCCAGGATAATGTAACCCTATCCTGGGTTTGGGTTACATTATTGTATCTACGTTCCGGTATACCGGACCGTACCCACGGTACGTTCCGGCAGTACCCTGGGGGACATAGACACTATGAGCCCCAGACGCAGGCAAACAAAACAACAGACTAATCAGGTCATGCGACGCGGGGAGGGGTCGAGAATGAGTTACACTACGTCACTAGATACAGAGTCAGTAACCTCTTGCCTCGGTCACTAGATAATCTTATAGTAAATACCAACTCTAGTACTATATATATAGCCCTTGTTCGCCACAGGCCTGTGGCGATACAGTCAGTGCCGCTGATAGGGTCTATGTCCCCCAGGGTACTGCCGGAACGTACCCTGGGTACGGTCCGGTATACCGGAACGTACCCTGGTAACTACCTAGCTGATACGGTTAGGGTTAGAGTTAGGGTTAGGGAGTAGGCGTAGGCGACTCCCTAGATTCGTTAGTGGACTAGGCGAGGTACGGTGCGGCATATTAGATAGTAGTATTTAGTACCAGGGTACGTTCTGGCAGTACCCTGGGGGACATAGACCCTATCAGAATCAGCGTCAGTAACCTCTCGGTCTCTAAATAAATTCACAGTAAATACTAGGCCTAGCTCTAGCCTCTTCCCTCTAAATACGGTACAACTACAAGGATAGAGAGCATGGTTCATTGGTTGGTATGTAATTTTCGTGAATTTGGGGGTACACTCTTAAAAATGGAGAGGGATGTTGTTGAGGGTGTTGTTGAGGGTGTTGTGACTGAGGGGGCTAGCCCTTGGCCGCCAGACTACTGGCCAGCGGCAACTGTACGCGGGCTATAGTACTACTACTAGTACTAGTACTAGAGTAGAGCTAACTACCGAGTACTGGCATACGTACGAGACTACGACAGTCTGACGTGTCAGTGCACGCAAAATCCCATCCACGTATTCACCGACTACTTCGGATTTTCCATACCTTAATAACTTACTGTAACATACAATGATAGATACATAAGCTGACTTACTTTTTGACAAAAATCGCTCTTCATTGAGTACAGCAACTGCATTTATACAAAGAAGCGCCGCTTCAAACAGGGAATACAGAGTGAACGCCATGTCATCATGTGACTTCTACGTGAATAACTCGTTTTTTCCATAAGAGATGGCGCCAGTTTTCAGTCGGTAGTAGGTGACGTCACCCACACACCGAAGATGGCTACGGTAGACGGCAACGGAATGGAACAACACAAGCCACATTTTGAAATTCGGACAAAATCAATCGAACAGACGTTAGTTCCCCTTGTGACACAGGTGAGTGAAATCATTATGTTAACCATAGCAAACTCTTATTGCAATATCGCCGTCGGCTAAGCATTGTACACAGTGAGGTATGGAGACTGGAGTGTGTGAACGCTCACTTCGGACTGTGTGGCCGCAGTGTCGATCTGTCGATTTGATAAACTTGTCTCGCCGTCTTCGTTATACTTATACATAGTCCTTTGGACTTTAGAAGACTATTATTTATGAGGTATAGAGCTTAAGGCTAGCGTTGCTGGCAGCAATGCCAATACTAGTGTCAATACCATCACTGCATACAGTCCTACAACACACACATGCACTCAAAACTCCCACTCCGCCACATTGTAAACGCAGGGTTATCCAAGCTTTTTCATTATAGCATGGGGGTGCTGCCTTTACGGTCCTAGTTGCAAATCGCCGAAGGATTTTACCATGCTTTTAGCATGGCGGCTATTATATTTAGAGTGACGGGTGCATTTTAGGATGGCGGGGCTCGACGATAGCCTGGCAGGCCGCCAGGCTATAAGTGCTCTTGGAGAACCCTGAAACTGGAGGTCGTGCATGTTTATACACAAATAATGGTGGCGCATTGCATGCTGGGGTGAGCTGATGCTAGCTCTAGTACTATAGCCCTTCGCTCTGCCGCAGGGCTATAGAACAAACTATGTTGAATCCGGTCACTTTTTCTGCTCTCACTGCTCCCACGAAAAATGGCTCACAAAACGCAAAACGATCGGGCTTTTAGCACTTATTTATCTACATGGACCTCTCACCTATCTTTCTGAATACTTTCTACAACTTTACACCATGTATTTATGCATTTATTCCTCAAAGTGTTAGCTAGCACTACTTGTGATTTCGTTTGAAATGCTCTCGCGCACGCGAGTGACATCACCTGAAATGTAATAGGCTGCACCATAGCTGCCCATGTATTTTGTCTACATTTCGGGTGACGTCCCGTGCGTACATGAGAGCATTTCAAACGAAATCACGTGGGAGCAGAAAAAGTGACCGGATTCAACAGAATGTTCTATAGCCCTGCGGCAGAGCGAAGGGCTATAGTACTAGAGCTAAGCTGATACCTGCCTCTGAGCTCCATTTTGAGGCCCGCAAAGCCAAGCTAGAATAATGCGTGTGGGCATGACATCACACACACGACTACGTTCATTGGCCAAAACAATCGAGAAGCGTGGTCAGGGTGTTTCGGATGATAACCTCCCATTTGGCAGAGTGGGAGTTTTCTGCAGGAATTCACAAGACATCTCTGGTTCTGAAGCAGTGTCAGAGGTTTGGTGCTGGTGTCTAGCTACACAGGGGTAGAAATTAACTTTTGAACAAGGGAGTCCAGCGGACTCCAAGGGAGTCCAACTCCCTGCCTTCAAAAAGAGGGAGTTTGCAGCAAAATGAGGGAGTCCGCAGTCTGAAGTTCAAAACTAAAGATATTTACAATAATGCATATGCTTATTTTGAAGATCTATTCATGCAGTTGCCCGTCTGCCTAATTTTCTTTGAAAAGTTGAAAGTCTTCTTGTTGTTTGTGCATAGCGGCTTGCGTGTGGTGTACTTGTATGTTGCAAAGCAGCATCTGCACAGCATTTACAGGGAATTATCGGCAATAATAGGCGAAAGAAAGTAGAGAAACATTAAGATTTTGGTAGTAAATACATTTCGTGCTTATTAGCTCGCCTTGACATCGTCAAGATGAGCTATTGCCATGGGGTGTCGTACGTCCGTCCATTCGTCAACATTTGGCTACGGTCAACTATAACTCAAGAACCGTTTGACCCACATGTTTCAAATTGCATGCAGTTGTTACTCCTATGAGAGAGGTATGAGCGTCCTATTTTGGAGCACGCCAGTCGACCTACTTTCGAGCCATGCCCACCTTTTGGCAAAAATGGAAATGGCCATAAGTCAATTCAGGTTCAATGGATATGCTCTTGTATATATGTAGTTCATGAGTTTTTATTGAGGTAGATGTTCCAGTGAATGGTCGGACTTTGTATTGATGGTAGTCTTGCAGCCTAGTCAGTGTAAGGGTTGGTGAGTGAATCGTTAACCCTGCACTGTAGGGTAGGCCTTGTGTGTTCCATACCGTAGGCTGGCTATGTAGTCAGTAATCTTAATAGTTATTTTGAATGTATACTAAGTCAGTATTTTATGTAGATCACTGGCTACTTACATGAGCAAATAAGATAAAATGTGTTCTATTAATTAGCTGCTTTAAAGGGTTTATTGCGAAATCAATGCTCCAAAAGGTACAATCGTAGCTGGCCAAACGTAGCTCCAAATGTAACTCCAACCATCCAAACGTAGCTGGCATTATTGCGATATTCGCAAGGAATGGCGGCAGTAATCAAAACGATGCGAGAAATGCTTCAATTTAAAAAACATCATTTATAGGATAAATTTTTGATTCCATGTTTCGAAACTGTTGAATTTTATCCCATGCATTCCAGTACATAGATTAGTTCTTATAATATAGCCAACACCCCAGTGACAGTGGCATTTTTTCTCAATGGCATTATAAAGAAACGACGTTAATAGGGGTCTTGGTGTAATCTGAAGTCACTTTTACCTTCTATTCGAGAAATATCTGGGCAACTTTATCATACTGAAAGTACTGTAAATTAGTCATTATTGAACCGTTATTGAAAACCGAAGTTTATCATACGCGCAGCCTAGCTGGGGGATTTACGTGATTTCATTTCGGCCTGTTGTCACCTTCAACCTTTTACGCGATAACAATCAACATTAATGCACAGCTAGCCATCTGCCTTTGCTTATGTATGTATGGCTTTTCGGTAGCATTGTATAGCCAATTAGAGCACTCGGAGAGCACAGACCTCCGCCAAGGCAGCTGAATTCTGTCACTGTGAAAATTTTTATTAATTAATTAATTAATTAACTAATTAATTGGATCCGGATGACGACCAAAATGTAATCCCCCATATGATAGATATTCGCTGAGTGCGAGCGTGCAGGTGGGGGAGGATTGTGGTTGCCCTTTAGCCTGTGGTTGCGTGTTTGTAAGTCTACAGCCAGCGCACCTAGCGGAAGTGAACTGAAACGTGCATGTTAACAAACACACAAACCAACACTCAAACACACGCCGGTGAAAACATAACCTCCGCCAAGCCCCTGGCGGAGGTAAATATTGCCACGTTGGTGGTTCAGTGTCGATATTGATGGAATGAAAACATCATACATGTAGTACGGAGGCTGAAGATGGGCAGATGTGGAGCCAAGTTGACATTTTTCCTCATTATCGAACTAATGGGTGTTATCAGGAAAAAGTAGGTCATTGGGAAGAATCTTTGTTTTGCTATCCTTGCGTGCAGATGTGATTCATGGCTTATGTTAAATTGATTACGTCACGATTTTTCTGTGGTGTATATTTGTAAAATTTTTGTTGCAATTATTTTTACACTAAAAGTAAGTACTAACGGGACTCAAATTCTTACCTGATACGATTGTTTTTCAACTAGGTAAAAATCCAAAAAACTCAGCGATTGTTATTATGATCCTGACATTGAATGCTTGCTATGGGCTATGTATGAGTCACGAGTGTTTGTTCACGTCGAACAGAATAGAAAAATAGTATAATGCAGCAGTTTAAGCATAAAAAGTGAACAGAATCACTTACATTTTGTAAAAAAGTGGACATATTTTTTTTACGTTTACTGTTTACGGTGACGTAATCACTTTAACCAAACAATGCAAATTGTTTGTTTTTAATTTAGATGAACACGTTTATATCAGGTTTTTTGATGGGGAGTTGTGGTTACGTGCATGTGCTCACTATTGTGAGGGCAGTAGTTGTATTACTACATTTCACTTCATGTGTAAGCCAATAGCAATAAACTAGATTTATGTGAATCCCTTGAGCTGTAAGTATTGAAAGGTGTCGAGTTTGCATCAGAGTATGCTCATAAAAACAAGCAATTTTCATGAAATCATTCTGTAGTTATACGTGTTCTATTAACTAGCAGTCTCCAGTACTCACAAAGGTACTAAGTCAGCACTAAGGAGTAAGAGTTTTGTTATTGAGAGTTGATCTGCCGGTTTTCATGAGTCACTGTGTATATCATTAATTCCATGTTGCTAAGTGACATCGTCTATGAGCATGTAAATAACTCGTGAATTATGTAGTCAAAGCGGCAGTTTGTATGAAACAAATCGGGATGAAGGTTTATATCTGTTCAGCATCGTTGCGTGCCGTTTACTGAGAACATTTTGCGAGTGCTTTTAAAATAATGCAACCATGCTTACACTAAATATATATTTTAAAACGCATTTTCTTGCGAGTTTAATACGTGTTCTTAAATTGGTTAGCGGGCGTCCCATTTTGCCAACTGCCTTTTGGCTAAATAAACGTGGTTAGTGTCTGCTGCCAGCTAGTATTAATGTTCAGCTGTAAATGTTGGTGCACACAGGCTGGCTGCAGCAGTCGCAGCGAATTTCGTTGTAGGGATAATGAATGAATTGGCAGTGAATGGAAACCCCACGTACGGCAATAAGTAGCTTGTACAGAGAGAGAGAGAGAGAGAGAGAGAGAGAGGGGGGGGGCATCTTTTATCAGATTGTTATAATGTCGAGTCGTTCGCAGATTTCTTCAACCCACACATAATTGCCATGTTGTTTGTAGGTCGTGCGACGAGGCGCGGCGACTAGTACAGTAGTAGGAGTTCTTTCTCAGCGTTTCTCTCCTAGTACAGAGATATGTTCACGTACTAATCATTTGCAGAAAAGACCAATATATTTTTTGCGGCCACTGGCAATCTATTGATCAGTAATGATGGACTGCTGGGAAGCCATGCAGAGCATTGGGGAATAAAATACCGGCTGGTTGGATGCTTTCCCAGCCTCCCTTCTCTCTGTCTCTATCTCTCTCATTCTCTCTACTTCTCGTCCCGTCAAGTCGGCAGCGTCCGCACTCGCAGCGTCCGCCGCGTCGCTAGCGTTCCGCGGGGACGTCGCAGCGTCGCACGTCGCAGCCGTCGGCGCGCGTC